GCATAAAAAGGGTGAAGTTACTTCTTTGTGGGCAGGGGTCAATAGCTTGTTTGTTTAAGGTGGAAGTATCAAGAAAAACAGGTCTTTCAGGAAACACCTTTGCTCCCATAATCACAAAAGAAGAAGTTCCTCAATAGGTTCCTATACAGGGAGCAATCAGCATATTTAAAGCCAGAATAAGTCACTTACAAAATGCTCCAAGCAGAAACAATTGGGTGGGGGTGGATATCTGTCCTTAACTCTAAATTAGGCTCTTTGTCTCAGGGCCAGACTCAATTGTAACTCTTGTGTTCTTAGCCCCTTTTATGATCTAAGTCTTGGATCTGCAAGACCCGTAGGAAGATCCTTCTGACAACCATCCACAGTGCTTTCATCTGAAGTCTCTTTTGAAGAGGCAGGAATATGCTTTTCCTTATGAACAATCTGTGTGGGGAATATCGGTCTGATCTGGAATATTGTGAGGTCTGGTCAGTACCTGCAGGCTCATCTCCAACAGCAGAAGGAGATCCCAGTTTTTGTTTCTCATGGCAGGAGCTGTGCAGACGCTGCCGTTTCCTCGCTGTCACTGACATCCAGCGAGGTGGGTGCGGCTCCAGCACTGGGGGGCTCGGTCAGTTACGCATCTGACTTTTGATTTCAGCTCAGATCATGATCTCACAGTTTATGAGACTGAGCCCTGAGTCAGGCTGACAGCAAAGAGCCTGCTTGGGATTCTCTTTCTCTCTCTGCTCCTCCCTTTCTCATGTGTGCACACGCATGTGCACCCTCTCTCTCTAAAAAAAAAAAAGTGACAACAAGAAAATAAAATTAAAAAGTAGGCAGTATGAACTAATAAAAAGAAAAACCAGGGGCACCTGGGTGGCTCAGTCGGTTAAGTGTCTGACTTCGACTCAGGTCATGATCTCATGGTTTGCAGGTTCAATGCCCTGGGTCAGGCTCTGTGCTGACAGCTCGGAGCCTGGAGCCACTTCAGATTCTGTGTCTCCCTCTCTCTCTGTCCCTCCCCTGCTCACATGCTCTGTCTCTCAAAAATAAACATTAAAAAAAAAGGACCAAAATCATTTAAACACAAAAGAGGGAGAAAAGTATGTGTCTGTGTGCATATGGACATGTGTATGTACATATATAATTTATATATGATCTGAGTAAGTCTAATTTGAATACACATATATGAAATTTGGTTATTTATAATTTTAACAGAGAAATGAAATAGATAAAACCCCTCACCAGTTGACAGATTACTTAGAATACTTTCAGTTATATGTAGGGGAATTGAAATGCTGAGGGGAAAAGTCTAAAAATGTTAGCAAATTGTATAATGCAAAGCAGAATTTATTGTTAACATAATTACACAGAACTGCTTACTGGAGAAAGTGTATATGATTGCTTCCATAAAACAAAGAAGAGATTTGAAACAGTTCTTCAAATATTCCTAGTAAAATTAAAATGGATTCGGGGTCCTAGGTGGCTCAGTTGGTTAAGCTGCCGACTTCGGCTCAGGTCATGATCTCACAGTTCCTGGGTTCGAGCCATGCATCAGGCTCTGTGTTGACAGCTAGCTCAGAGCCTGGAGCCTGCTTTGGATTCTGTCTCCCTCTCGCCCCCTCTCATGCTCTGTCTCTCAAAAATAAATAAACATTAAAAAAATTTTTTTTAATTAAAATGGATTAAAATATAAAGAAACCAACTAAACATGATAAAAACCAATTATCAAAAAGCAGCTATGTCACAATGAATCATGAAATGTTGAATCATATCTATTAAAATTAGAAGCAAAACAGACATGTCTGTCATCACTATATTATTAAACTTTGTTTTAGAAGCTGCCGTTATTATGGTAATGTAAAAGAAGAAAATGTCTCATCTATATGTAATAGGTATGAAATTTAAAAATTATCTTTATTTTTATACGATACAACTGTACACCTGCAAATCTCAAGAAACCGTAAAATCTGTTAAAATTAGTATGAGTTTATTAAATTTCTGGATAAAAGAAAAACATTAAAAAATTAGGAGTTTTTATTTATATCAGCAATAATAGATAGGAAGTTGCAATGTAAAAATCAAATCTCCTTCACAGCGGTGATAGTTAGGAATAAATTTATGAAGAGGGAATAAATGTTCTGAAGAACATAATTTTACTCTGAAGTTCGCCCACAGCTACTAAAGTAATAGAGAGACCTACAATGTCTCTGGGTAGAATGGTTTTACAGTAAGAACTGAAAACTTTCTAAACTAAAAAATATATGTAGTTCTCTTTGAAACAAAAGCTTATTTTTTAAATATTTGACACAAGGAAAAATGACCTTAAAATTAATCGGAATAATAAATGTCTGGGAAGAGCCAGGAAAATTTTTAAAAAGACTTTGTGTAGCACCTTGCCTTTCTTGATATTAAAATTCATATTAAAAGCTACACTGATAAAGGCAGGATATTGGCATGGGAACTGATCAGTTTATTCATGGATATGCCTATATATTCATATATGGGATACTGTATTAACAGATCCAAATACATACATAAAACTTAGCAAATGGTAAATAACATCTTAATTAAATGGGAAAATGATGGTATATAAATAGTGCAGACGTACTTTGCTGTTCATCTGGATGAAAACAGAGCCCTAATTTACATTATATACACAATTAAGTTCTAGATGATTAAGGCTCCAGAGGTTAATAACTCATGTAAAATAATAGTGCTGCATTTCAGAGAATAAAAATTAGATAAATTTAATAAAAAGCTAAGAATTTAAAAAGCCCAAACTTGTAAAAATTTAGAGTAAAAATAAAAGTGGTAACTGACAAAGAGCTAATAATTTCTATTATCTAAATAACCTTTAGAAACTGACAAAACGAACAACTCAAGTAAAAAGGGGCAAAACATATGAAGGCAAATATCTGAACAGGAAAAGTAAGTGGCTAAAACTCATGAAAAGTATGCTTTTCTGTTCTGATAATTAGGAAACTGTAAATGAAAAAAAAAAAAAGAAATTCCATTTTCTCCCCAACACGTTGGTGAGATCACAAAGAGCAATCACCCTCATTGGTCGTGAAGATAAAGGAAAAGAGGACATTCATGTATTTACTATGGAATATGAATTGCTACAATTTCTCTTTTTGGAAATAAATCTAGTAAAAAAACCCACCATTCAGCTTAGTATAGTGTTGTTTGTAGAAGCACAAATATATGTAAACATTCTGAACAACTATTGTTGTGCCCGAATCACGAGTCCCCAGTGACCTCAGAAGCCAATACCGATGCAAGAACAAAAGGGTCTTTATTACAAGCTCGAGCCGGGTCTCACCCACCTACCTACACGGCAGCAGCAGTAGGGGGGAGCCCCGAACAATGGCCAGCAGGGTTTTTAAGGGGTAAGGGATGGGGGTGTTACAGTACACATATAGTACACCAATCATATTTGTACAATACCCCTGGCAACAGCCTTGACCATTCAGTACCTGTGAGGTGTCCGTTACTTTTGGCGGAGCCTAATTATGGCCTTTTGAGACTCCTTTGAAAATGACCAATTATGAGGTGAGTTAGGCACGGAGGAGCAGCCCTTCTCTCAGCCGGCAGGAATGTTTTTAACCTCTTCTCACTGGCTAATTGGGGAGGGGGTTCGGCCTTGAACAATCTGCAGTTTTTTTCTGAGACTGCTGCTATGTGCAGCCCGAGGTTGCTTTTAATGGAGGTCTTAATTTTATTAAAAATTTTTTTAATGTTTTATTTATTTGTAGGAGAGAGAGAGAGAGAAAGTGTGAGCAGGGGAGGGTCAGAGAGAGAGGGAGTCACAGACTGAACAGGCTCCAGGCTCTGAGCTGGCAGTCAGCACAGAGCCCGACGCGGGGCTCGAACCCACGAACCGCGAGATCATGACCTGAGCGAAAGTCGGACGCTTAACCGAGTAAGCCACCCGCACGCCCCGAGGGTCTTAATTTTAAAATGGCGTTATTTAGTCTCTTCACTATCAGCTGGGGAATACTTGGATATATTATAAATGTAATATTCAGCAGATGCTAAAAAAATGAAGTTAGAACCATCTGAATTAACCTGGACAAATGTCCATGATATGTTAAAATAAACAACCAAGTTATACCCCGTGTTCCCATGTCTGTTTTAAAAAACATACAAATAAGACAAAAATAGCAATCAAGCACACAAAAAAATATAGCCTCTATGTAAGTATTAGGATAGATTTAGGTATGTATCACAATTTTAGGTTTTTTTGTTTTGTTTTGTTCTGTTTTGTTTTTTACATTTATTTACTTTTGAGAAACAGAGACAGAGCACAAGTGGAGGAGGGCCAGGGAGAGAGGGAAAAACAGAATCCAAAGCAGGCTCCGGGCTCCAAGCTGTCAGCACAGAGCCCGACATGGGGCTCAAACCAACAAACTGTTGAGATCATGACCTGAGCCGAAGTCGGATGCTCAACCGACTGAGCCACCCAGGCGCCCCTGTATCACAATTTTAGTATTGATTATCATAGGAACATGTTACTGGAGGGTGTGTGTATGGTTTAAGTGCCTTTGTAACAAAGTAACTGATTTCCGCCCCAGTTTTATTGAGATATAATTTACATGTAACATCGTATTGGTTTAAGGTGTGCAACATAAGGATCCGATGTACGTATATGCTGTGAAATGATTACTGCAATAAGTTCAGTTGACATCCACCACCTCACAGTTACACCTTACAGTTTTCTTGTGATGAGAAAAATAACTTTTAGAAGATGAGGAACTGTGGATAAGTCCAAAGAGCATCAATGAGGAGGTGTGGACCTAGCCCCACTCCGAACTTGCAATATGACACTTTCTGCCTTGACTTTCTTGTCTCTAGAGTGTGAGTGGTAATGACCCGGCTCCTGATCAGGCTACAGTGTTGCTGTAAAGATAAAATGGGGGCCGAAGACAAACATAATTTGAATAGTTAAAAGGTGTTAAAATGCAAGCTATTATCCTCAAGAAAATTCTCAGCCGTTCTCAATTTATATGATGCAGGTGACAAAATCATCCGAGGAAGCATCTTCCCTTCCCAACGGCGATGTAGCGGGAGAGGTGCAGGGCGCCACAGAGGTACGAGCTGGTGTCTTGAACCATCTTCCATCAGACTAGCTTGCTCCGAATGTCTACTTGGTTCTCATTTTTCTGTCATTCTCCTTTACGTATATAGAATATCTATCTATCTTTCTGTCTCTCTCTTATGGTCATCCAACATCCATCCATCCATCGTCCATGTATCGATCCATCTATTTACTCATTATGTATCTGTCTGCATCTATCTACCTATCTGTCTGTCTGTCTGTCTATCATCATCCATCCATCCTCCATCCATCTCTCTATCGATCGATCGATCGATCGATCTATCTATCTATCTGGCTATCTAGCTATCTGTCATTTTTTTTATTCTCTAAAATTATAAAGCCTGCCTCCACTCAAGCAACAGAAAACAATTCTACCTAAACATTGAATCCTTTGGAGTTCTCTTCATAAGCCTTAAATGGGTGAGTTACAGCTCCTCGTTAGTGAGTCTGTTACTCTCCCAGGCACGTGAATCAGGACTGCTGACTGCCAACAGCAGCTGCTGTGAGCGATACTGGGGGTTGGGGTTCTATCCTGCAGTAGCCGAGTGACCCGATAAATAGCAAGTCTGTGTTTGCTTTGTTTCTATACTGTGTGTCCAAGTAAAACAGAACCATGTGCAGCCTGGTTTTCCCTGGAAAGCTTATCTAGGGTTAGTGATACCTCGGGTTTGCTTTACAACCAGGCAACAGAGAAGGCTGAAGAAAGTGGAGAAAATGAGGCACAAAAAGAAGATAACGAGGATTCGGGCAACCTTGCTGAGTCTTCAGAGAAGGTGAGTGTTTGCTTTTTTTTTTTTTTTCCCCACCATAATTTCACTGGATTCGATTCACCAAACTTTTTCTGAGCTCCTCTCAGGTGAGCACGGAAGCCTGGGGCTGAGGGTTTAGGCAGAGAGGAAGCAGGAGGAAGGGTTAATGGCTGTGGTCAAGGCAGAGGGCTAACAGGACGCAGAGGCGGGACCCTGAACCCAGGCCTGGAGGGACAGGCAGTTGTGATGTTGGCGTTGGGTTAGGTTCAAGGTCTCTGTAGAACAAGGGACCTTATTCCTTGGCCATGAGTGATGATGGATTCCCAGCAATCACCTGCCAAGAACACTGCCTTACACAGAGGTAAGGGGGTGGGGCGTTTTGTGGGAAGCCATCAGGAGCTGAGGGTAATGAAGGGCCCTTGGTGGGGGGGGAAGCCACACCCACTTCCCATCCTGTCCTGGGAATGGCAGCTGCTCCAAGGCCTGGGACCTAATTCTAAAGGGGTCCCAGTTCAGGAGCCACAGAATAAGGGGCGGGGGACGGGTATGGGAGGGAAGAGGAGACTGTGGTTCTAGAATGGCCAAGCTGAGATAAAGGGGCATCAGATGGGCCACTCAGTCAAGGAATTCTGAACATGTACCTGGGAAGCCAGGTAAGGGGAGACCCTGGTGTGCAGGGAGCTGAATGGGGGGGGGTGGTTGCTGGCCTCCCCTAGAGTCTCAGGGGTCTGTTTACTGAATGCTGATGATTTGCATCTCTACCTACTTATTGATTCCGGGAAAGCTGTTGGACTCACATTCGCAGCAGGTAGAATGTGGTGAGGAAGGGCACTAGGGAAACAGGCTATGGAAAACTGGGTTGGGGGTGGCCATCAATTTGTTCTTATCTTAAGGAATTTAAATTTGAGAGGGGCCAGGGCGGTAAATTCCTCATATGAAAGATGGCTGTTTCCAAGATTACTTAAGACTCGCTGAAGTCTTTGGTTTGGAAGAAAGATAAAAGCTTTAAATCCTGACCTAGAAGCTAGATGGGGTTTGACAGCAGCCTGTATGATTCAGAGACAATAAATGTCAAATTACACATAGCAACAATTTCATTACCGTGTAATTTAAAAATCCATGTTTTTATAAGTCGGACTTTACAGGAATTGCCTAATGCACTCCTACGGTGTTATTGATTTCTACTTTGAAATTCAGTTTGCTTCTTGTGAGACAGAGAGACAAAGATAAGAAACTTTATACCGGAAGCCCTATCTCCTGGGGACCAAGAAGAAGGTAGCATTTTCATAACTGGACGCTAGTTACTACAGCAAGGATGGGCCTGCTTTAGCTTCTCAGCTATTCTTTAGTGAGGTGCTAAGCTCTCTGGTCTGGGAGTTTTCTTTGGTACTTTTTTTTTTTTTTTTTGTGAGCCCATTACAAAGGAAATTTAAAAAAAAATTTTTTTTATGTCTTTATTTTGAGAGAGAGACAGAGCAAGCGGGGAGGGGCAGGGAGAGAGGGAGACTCGCAATGGGAAGCAGGCTCCAGGCTCCGAGCTGTCAGCACAGAGCCCTGATGTGGGCCTCGAAATCACGAACTGTGAGATCATGACCTGAGCCGAAGTTGGACGCTTAACCAACCGAGCCCCCCGGGCGCCCCATCCCAGGGTTTTGAAAAGCGAGGCCGAGAACTTCTCCCCTGGGATCCCAGAGCCACAGCCAATCTGGGGCCGTCCCCTTGCCGTGAGGGAGGGGCAGACTCGACACCCTGTCCCCTGTGTTGTGCGGTGGGGACAACCCGAGGTAATTCATATCCTGGCGTTGAGCCACGCTATTTAGGACAAAGAATACAAAGGCGTTTTCACCTCTTATTGTGAAATAAGTATAGACCTACGGGACGTCGTTCAGCGCCCCATGGTGATGTCGCAGGCAGCCGCGGTACCGTAGGGACACCAGGGACACGGCGTCGGTGCCTCCCTGAAGGGCCGCAGACCTTATGCGGTGTGCACCGTTATCTCAGACCTTTCACTTGTGTGCTGAACACGGCTCATCCGTGTGCTACCGGCAGTTTTCAAGGTGTGACGGTAACCACCACGTCCGGCAGGGGGCAGTGTGAAACCAGCGACAAACCAGCTGGGGCGGCGTCCGAGGCCTGGGCTTGCTCACCTGATCGCAGCTGCTGCACGTGCCCACGGAGCACCCAAATGATGCCGTTTTATTTTCTTTTATTTTTAAGTGCTTTTTATTTTGGAGACAGAGAGAGAGCACACAGGGGAGGGGCAGAAGGGGGGGACCGAGGATCAAGAGTGAGCTCTGCGCTGACAGCAGTGAGCCCAATGTGGGGCTTGAACCCACAAACTGCAAGATCACGACCCGAGCTGAAGTCAGACGCGCAACCAACGGAGCCACCCAGGCGCCCCTCAAATAATGCCGTTTTAACGGGGAGAAATATTTATCTAAGAATATCACTCTTGATTTAAAAAAAAAAAAAACAGAAAAGGAAACAAATCATTATCTCCTTTAATGCAATGAACCCCCCCCCCCCAACCCAAGCCTGCGGGCTTTCAGCTCCAGATGCTGAGATGGGTGTCACCTACATGTTGACAGGTGGGGGGGCTGGGCATTGGGGAGACAGGGCGGTGGACACTGGAGACCCCGTTCTTTCGTGCCTAAGAAGGTCTCGCCTGCTGCTTCAGGTCCCTGTAGAGAGGGGACTTGGTGGTCCCCTTCCCTGAGGATCCGGGAGGGACCAGGGGCTGGGGAGGGAGGCTTGGGCATGGTAGCTGAGGGGGAAGGGCACAGTGAGGGCCTGGGAGCATCGTGAGGACTTTACAGGAGCCTGGAAATGTTGTTTGCCTTTGTCTTCGGTTTCCCTGGAGGTAAAATTATTTTAAGTTGTGTGCTTTGCCAGCTCAGCGGTCCTCTCCAAAACCTTTTAAGATCTTAGCTTGACTGGCTACATGACAATGGCTTGTAAAGCCCACCTGGCCTCCTCCAAAGCCAGTCCTGAGGGCAGTTGCTTTCTTGAGGGACAGACGGTGGTCTAGGTCTGTGAGGGGCTGGTGAATCTCAGGCTGGGTCCCGGAAGATTGAGAGGACTCTGCCCTTGTCCCTGACATTTCCAGCCAGTCGAGGCCACCCGCCCACCTCAGGTCACCCTGTGCTGGCCCTCGGGCTTCCTTCCACACCAGCCACCTGCCCTCACCAGCCACTGCCTGACACTCACCACGGCCGACACCTGTCCTTGGAGCTGGCTGGCTGCCGTCTCTGCCACCTGCCTCTCCGGCCAAGTCCTGGCAAAAATAGCTGCTGGTGAAGGTTCCAGGACTCCCCACCTCGGGGGCTTCCCCTCGCTAGCTTTCTTCCAGGAACAGCAAGGTACAGTGAGTTTAAGTTGTAGCTTGGTCGGGTGAATGGTGCACAGGCTGTGATAAGCGAGAGCTTAGCTTAATGGACCACGTGATTACAATGATCTTAAAAAATACCCTTTTTGCCAGTGTAATGATTTGCCAGTCATAGATGTCTGTTCAGGCATTGTCTATAGAGGGCTTTCAATATCTGTCTAATTCTGATATTTTACAATTCTCTGAGCTAAGGATGGAAGTTTAAGTTCTGTTTAAATGATACATCCTCAGGGCGCCCGGGTGGCTCAGGCCATTAATTGTCTGACTCTTGACCTCGGCTCAGGTCAGGATCTCAAGGTTCATGGGATGGAGCCCCATGTCTTGGGATTCTCTCTCCCTCTCTCTCTGCCTCTCCCCTGCTTGTGTTCACACTCTCTCTTTCTCTCTGCCTGTCTCTCAAAATAAAAAAACTTCAAAAAGAAATCATAACCCCCCCCCCCCACCTCCTCCTACAAGGGATTCGAGGCAGAACTAGCAAATATAAACTCAACCACTCAACATTTTATTGACAGATTGAGTGCCGCCACGTGCCAGGCAGATTCCAAGGCCTGGGGACAGAGCAATGAAACTGACAGAGTCCCTGCTCCCACAGAGCTTATGTTCTGCCAGAGCCGGTGATGGTCACATCCCGGGTTCTTCAAAGCATAATTGAGTTTTTGCAGCTAAGTATTTCCATAAATTCCATGGGCAATTGCTTAACCCATTTAATGTCTCTTTCAGGAAATTAGGGACAATTCAGATATTGATAGAGAGTCCTGGGTCCCTCGGTAATTGCTCCTATCTGACCTGTAGAAGTTGAGATAGGCACGTATTCCTGTGGGAATGTCCCCCAGCCGCTCTCTGAGGGTATCCTCATTTTTCACAATGTACATCTTGTTAATGCATTGTTTCAGCTGAATACAGTTCATACATATAATCAAATTCAGAAAAAGCTGAAACTCTACATAGTTGATAATTCGGTGTTGCACATTTTAATTTGATCCCATGTGGATACAAAGAAGATTAATCCAAACAGTTACTAGCAGAGTACACGTTCATTTATCCAGTCACTTAGCACTAAGCCTTCACCTCGGTGCCAGGCAGCGGCTAGATCCTGGAGGTCCCAGAATGAAAACAGATGCAGGTCGTATCCACAACAAGTACACAGACAGGTCAGAGAGACAGAGAAATGGTGGCCATGGGAGCAGAAGGTGGTCCCCTAACTCAGCATTATGGGTCAGGAGGGTCACTTTAAGTAGCGTCCTGGAAGGCGTGGCCGATGTGAGAAAGTTGCATGTGTCCATAAGGTTGAAATAAAGGGTGGGGAGAGACAAGGGCAGAGGGGAAACAGGGTTGCATTGAGATGTATTTTCTGTATTCAGAATCCATTCTAAGAATCTAAATCCATTCTGAGAATAATGGATAGAAGTTCCTTGAAAAGATGGATGTGATCCCCATGAGGGAAGCATGGTTGTCTTTTATTTTTCATTATTATTATTATTTTTTTTTTAATGTTTTTATTTCTAGGAGAGAGAGAGACAGCGTGAGCAGGGGAGGGTCAGAGAGAGAGGGAGTCACGGACTGAAACAGGCTCCAGGCTCTGAGCTGGCAGTCAGCACAGAGCCCGACGCGGGGCTAGAACCCACAAACCGAGAGATCAAGACCTAAGCGAAAGTCGGACGCTTAACAGACTAAGCCACCCAGGCGCCCCTCATTATTATTATTTTTAATACTTATTTCTTTTTGAGAGAGCGTGAGCAGGGGAGGGGCAGAGAGAGAGAGAGGCAGAGAATCTGAAGCAGATTCCAGGCTCTGAGCTGTCAGCACAGAGCCCGACGCGGGGCTCGAACTCATGAACCATGAGATCATGACCTGAGCTGAAGTTGGATGCTTAGCCGACTGAGCCCCCCAAGCACCTCAGGGTGTTGTCTTTTAGAACCACATCCGTGGCCACAGTGTGGAGAGGAGGTCGTGGGTAAGGAAGCCCAGAGAAGTGGCGCCCTGGGTGAGAGAAGATGGGGGTCCTGGCAGAGAAGGGGAGGCCTGGACAGCAGCAGGCGGGACTAGAGAGGTTCAGTCAGCACATTGCTGAGGAACCGACACCCAAATTCTGCAACAAGTGTGAGCCTCTCTTTCCTCGGACATTATCTTAGCCCTAAAACTTGGCGTGTGGCCAGTGGTGTTGAACGTGAGCATGCATTTGGAGACTCCTGACTCAGCCTGTGTTTTCCACGCCAACCTCAGAAATCTGAGAGAATTATTCCGGAAGTAGCCGAGAACATGGGGGCTGGACGGGGTGGAGGGGATGTGGCAGTGTGGTGGGCCCCATCACCCGCCTTGTATGATTTTGCCTTTTCTGTTACTGATCTTGAGACATAGCATGTAAGTGGGGAGGCCACTGAATCAGGGACCAGGAGCCTGGAAGTCAGTCCCGACTGTGGTGCTTACGTGGCCTCTGATCTTTTTGGCAAATTACTTAACCTCTGTGGCCTCGGCGTCCTCACCTGTCCAAAGGAGGGATTGAGCGTGAGGCTTTGGGAATACAGATTCCGTTCATCTCCCCCAGCCTAAGATTCCGTGAGCTCACTGCTGAGCTGTAAGGCGTTAGGAACTTTTAGGTGCTGTTCCCTTCAGTTAATTAAAGTGATTGTAGTACACCGGCCTCCCAGAGGCTTGTCCTAGGGCCATTTCGGGAAAGGGATCCAAAACCTCTTCTTTCTTTGCCTTTTTAGGAGATGGAGCCTGTCTTATGGCTTCAGGGAAATAGAAGTTCCAGTGGGTTGGCAGAGGCGAGACCTGTGTGAACTTGGGATGGCCTCACCCTCTCTTACCTTGCAAATATCTTTCTTTAACCAGAAATCAGTGTTTGACTACTAAATGGTCCAGCAATGTTATTGTTTTGTTTTGATGGAAGAAAAGTTTTTGATAACTTATCTTTATCTGCTGGTTCAAAGCTGAAGTAAAGGCATAGTTATGGGCATAGAAAGTCAGAAAAGACATAATTTTGTTCAGATTTTTCTAATTGCTTATGTGTATGGTCTGAGTTTTCCTAGATAGTGATACAGATCGGCAATACTCTGGATATAGACAAAAATTAAATATGTAATTAAGCACTATGAAACTTTTTTTTAATGTTTATTTTTTTTGAGAGAGAGAGCATGAATGAGAGAGGCACAGAGAGAGGGAGACACAGAATCTGAAACAGGCTCGACACAGGGCTCGAACCCACAAACTGTGAGATCATGACCTGAGCCGAAGTCGGACACCCAACTGACTAAGCCCCCCAAGCTCCCCTAGGCAGTATTACTAATTCATTATATCTTCTCAGGAGTAAGAGTGGTGGAAGATGTAACTAATCTCATGATATTCAAAGGGCTTGAAATACAACACATGAAATAAGTAGGCATTGCTTAGTTATCATGTACTGGCTATTTATATATTTTACCAATAAATTACCGTCTTTTCATTTTGATGGAAATGTGCTTTTGTCATAGTTGGCTTAATTTTTAGATTCAACTTAAAACTTCAGTGAATTCATATTTTTTCTTTATTTTCTCTTTCTGGACCTCAGGAAGAAGAGGGAGAGACGGCAACGGAAGAGGTACAGTAGCTTATTGAACGGTGATGCCTAATGAAGAGTCTCTCAGGTCAGAGAATCGCAGCCTTAGCCGCCCTGTCCTTCTTCTTCATGACATGAAGAAGCCTATACAGCCTGTGCCCCCCAAAGCCCCTCTTAGCCTGCTGAGAAGGGAAATAGAACAAGTGGGAGGGAGATGTATCAAAGAGGGGGGCTAGAGAAGCAGGGCGGCTGCGGACCTTTCCCGAGCCTCCTGTTTGAGAGTCGGAACAGGCTGGACCGACCGAGTCCTTCTTCCCCTCTGCCTTCCCCTTTACTGCGTCGTGTGCACACTTCATGCACCTTGCATGGTGCTTAGCAGTGCTGGTTAAGTCTTTATTTATTTTTGAGAGAGAGAGAGAAAGGGAGAGACAGAGCATGAGCGGGGGAGGGGCAGAGGGAGAGAGAGACACAGACCCCGAAGCAGCTCTGGGCTCTGAGCTGTCAGTGCAGAACCCGACATGGGGCTTGAACCCACAAGCTATGAGATCGTGACCTGAGCTGAAGTCGGATGCTTAACCGACTGAGCCACCCAGGCACCCCGATGACAAGTTTTTAAGGTGACTTACATGTTCGGGGCCTTTCCAAAGCATTCTATTAAGTTCACATAAGGAGAAACATCCTTCCATACTCTTATTTCCTTGATTTCCATGATGCTTATTGAAACATCAGTGTTTCAATTACAGAAGGGCTCTAACTTGCACACACAAGTATGTCAACAGACACAACGCACCCTGGAGAGTGAAGACTCCAGTGGGTGGTGACAGCACACCTACTCCTGTGAGTGCCCGCCATGCTCTGGTCACCAACTAGCGTGATTTAAGGGAGAGAATGTAGACTGCAGCAGGGGTTCTCAAAGTGGGGTTCGAGGGAAGCAGCCACAGTCTCACCGGGGAACCTCTGCAGACACACATTTTCAGGCGTTGCCCCAGATCTACCGAATCAGAAACTCTGAGGTGCAGCCCAGCCAACTGTGGTCTAGCAAGCTTTTCAGGTGTTTCTGAGGCCCCATCAGGTCTGAGAGCTGCTGGATTAGAACCTAAATTCTAGGTAACCTGATGTCTTTGCCAGGGGGGCGGGGGGCAATTGCAAAAACTCCTACAGTTTTTTTTAAGTTTATTTATTTATTTTGAAGGAGAGAGAGAGTGTGTACATGTGCGAGTGAGAGAGAGGCACACAGAGAGATGGAGACAGAGAGTCCCAAGCAGGCTCTGAGCCATCAGTGCAGAGCCTGATGTGGGGCTCAAACCCACAGACTGTGAGATCATGATCTGAGCCAAAATCAAGAGTCAGATGCTTAACCGACTGAGCCCCCAGGTGCCCCAAGAACTGCCACTGGTTTGACCCTCATCATTAAAAGTCCATCGAATTTCAAAGACAATAGTGTTGATTTTATGTTAGGAACTTGTGTTTGGTAAAATAAAACCCCAAACCCTAATTTTTCTTTTGCTGATTGAAATGAGTAACAGAGGATGAGAAGGGGGATAGAGACCCCAGACCCAGGAAGGTCTGACACTCGGCTTAGGTTTTTTAACCTAAGAAGAATTCTCTTCTTTCCCGTTCTTTCCCCACTTCTTGAAATGTTCTAATTTCATCAGTTTAATTGTGAAAGCTTCCAAGAACGATCTTTTTCCTGTTGGAGAAATTTTGTTTGGCTTCCTGTCAGGCACCGGGGACAGACTTTGTTATAAGGAACTTCATGATAATTTTCACGAGTCTAACGGCTCATGCTGGTTTTGTGCTGCGGACCGGGTGCAAGGGGCACTCCATGGCAGAATGAAGCTGAATCGAGATCTTGGCCGGCCGCGTGCTGGTGGGATTGTGGCTTAGTAGCTGGGCACTGGGGGATTTTGGCATCAGTTGAGAGAATGTTAGTGGATTGTGAGGGCAGGTCCAAAGGGACATTCTCAGATTCTCCCTCTTCTTTTTTAAAAATAAATATTTTTTTAAGTTTACTTACTTATTTTGAGAGAGAGAGAGCAAGCATCAGCAGAGGAGGGGCAGAGAGAGAGGGAGGAAGAATCCCAAGCGGGCTCTGCACTGTCAGCACAGAACCGAGTGGGGGGCTCGATTTCACTAAATGCAAGATCATGCCTGGAGCCAAAACCAAGATGAGACTCTTAACCGACTGAGCAGGTGCCTCAATTCTCCCCCTTCATATTCCGGCCCCTCGTGTTAGCTGACTCTCAGTGACTTTCATTGTAATCAAGAGTTTTAATGTTCATATGAGTGAACATTTTTGGAGTGATCATTTTAAAATGCTAATCAGAAAGAGCTAAATCAAAATGGAGAACTCAGAAAAGGGAGAATAATTTACCAAAAACCACCAAATGTGTTGGCTCGGTGTTTATTCAAATCCTTTATTGGTGTGAAGGTCATCAACATTAAAGAGAATTCACATGTCAAAAGAAATTCCCCTAAAAAAACTTTGGTCGCTTTAAAAAATTTTTTTTAATGTTTGTTTATTTTTGAGAGAGAGAGAGAGACTGGCAGAGGGGGAGAGAGAGAGGGAGACAGGATCTGAAGCAGGCTCCATCCAGGCTCTGAGCTGTCAGCACAGAGCCCAACGTGGGGCTCGAACCCACGAACTGTGAGATCATGACCTGAGCTGAAGTCAGACGCTTAACTGACTGAGCCCTGTGTTGCTTTTTAAAATTATAAATAGTTCATGGTCTTTGTTGAAAATTTAGAAAATACAGATAAAAGAACACAAAAATAGTTTACAGCCTGATTACCCAGAGAGAACTACTACTACACACAACACATCCACAAAACACACACATACATGTCTACACATGTGCACAAGCACACGCACATGTGCACACACACTCACACATGTATCAAACCTCGATGAAATTCTTGTAATCTACTTTCACTCATGGAATGTGTATGTATTTTAGGGGAGGAGATAGTAAATCGTCACCTACTTCATTATTTTTAATGTCATTTTGTCAAATTAATCCCCGTTTTTAGACCTAAAGGTTATTTCTAGCCTGTTCATGCTTTGATTTTTAAAATTATAAGTTATTCCTTTCCAAAAATAGTTTTTCTCTTGCGAGGCAAGGTTCCATTTTTAAAAATCGTTTTTATATATAAAATAAGACACAGGTGCTATGAATTTGGACGTAATTGCAGGTTACATGTGTGACTGGCTGGCGGCTGGGCTTCTCGTTGTGACAGAATACAGGCAGCTTCTACATCTTCCCTGATAACATTCTATTTGCTGAGAGTCTTTCTGTATTTTATTCTGCCAGCCGCCTTCTGAATTTTTAAAAGTAATTTGATGAGAATAGTCCATTAATATGAGTAAAGACCATATGCTTAAAAGAAATCATGAAACCCACTAGATTAATGTACCGCTCTGCGCACCGTCCTAAACTGTGGGCTCTGTGTGTTGTGTGTTTTGTTTGTGTGCTGTGTATTGTGTGTGTGTGCTGTATGTTGTGTGTGCATGCTGTGTATTGTGTGTTGTGTGTGTGCTGTGTGTTGTGTGTATGTTGTGTGTGCATGTGCTGTGTGTGCGTGCGTGCTGTGTGTTGTATGTGTGCTGTGCATTGTGTGTATATTGTATGTGTGCATGTGCTGTGTATGTGTGTGCTGTGTGTGTTGTGTGTGTACTGTGTGTATTATGTGTGTGTGCTATATGTGTGTTGTGTGTATGCTGTGTTATGTATGTACTGTGTGTATTGTGTGTGTTGTGTGTGGTTGTATACTGTGTTGTGTGTATCGCATGTGTGGTGTGTACACTTATGTTGTGTGTGTGTTAATGTGTATTGTGTGTTGTGTGTATGTGATGTGTGTTGTCTGTATTGTGTGTGGTGTGTATGTGTTGTGTGTATGTGCTATGTGTGTTGTTTGTGTGATGTGTGATTTGTTGAATGTATTGTGTGTGATATGTTTATCGTGTGTGTGTGCTGTGTGTTGTATGTATTGGGTGTGACGTGTGGGTGTGTGATGTGTATGTTGTTGTATTGCATTTGTGATGTGTGTATTGTGTGTATGTGCGATGTGTGTATTGTATGTGTGATGTATGTTGTGTGTGTTTTGTGTGTAATGTGTGTATGTATGTGTTGTGTGTGATGTGTATTGTGTGTGGTGTGTATGTGTTATGTGTTATGTGTATGTGTGTTGTGTGTATTGTGTATGTGATGCGTGTGTGTTATGTGTAGGTGTGTGTATTGTGTGTGTGATGTGTGATGTGTGTATTGTGTATGTGATGTGTGTGTTATGTGTGTTACGTATGTGTGTGATGTGTGACATGAGTTGTGTGTTGTGTATGTGATGAGTGTGTTACATATGTGTATGTGTTGTGTGTGTGATGTGTGTTGTGTGTATTGTGTATGTGATGTGTGTTATGTGTATGTGTGTGTGATGTATGACATGTGATGTGCATGTGTGTTATGTGCAAGTGTGTGTTTTGTGTGTGATGTGTGACGTGTATTGTGTATGTGATGTGCGTGTTATGTGTGTGTATGTGATGTGTGTTATGTGTGTGTGTTTGTGTGATGTGTGACGTGTTGTGTACTGTATATGTGATGCGCGTGTGTGTTATGTGCAAGTATGTGTTGTGTATTGTGTATGTGATGCATGTGTGTTGTGTGTAGTGTGTGTGTGATGTGTGCCGTGTGTTGTGTGTATTGTGTATGTGATGCGTGTGTGTTGGGTGGGGTATGTGGGAAGCCTTCATCTTTAGTCTGAGATTTTACATTTGTTTCCTCGCTATTATCTGTGGCCTTTCTCAAAAATAATGAAACTTTTGTTAAAATTAAGACGGAAGGAATAACCGAAGAGGGAGCAGAAGGGGAAGCAGAGGAAGAGGAACCTGAAGAAAAAGAAGAAGCCGGAGAAGAAGATTCTTAGGCCTTTTCATGCTTCATTTCTCCAACTTTTCCAGGTAATCGCCAAGTCCTGGTGTTCATTGCACTGTTGGATTTTTTTTTTTTTTTAAGATTAAAAAAAATCTTTTAATGCTTACTAATTTTTGAGAGAGACAGAGCGTGAGCAGGGGAGGGGCAGAGAGAGAGGGAGACACAGAATCCAAAACAGGGTCCAGGCTCCGAGCTGTCGGCACACAGCCCGACATGGGGCTGGAACCCACAAACCCTGAGATCATGACCTGAGTTGAAGTCAGAGCTTAACCGACTGAGCCCCCCAGGCGCCCCTCCCTGTTGGGTCTCTAGGCCCCCTCACTTGGCAGTGGGAGAAGGAGACCCAATTCAGGCCTGTCTGTCTACCCCCAAGGCCCCAGGCTGCCCCGTCCTGGAGCCTCAGGGCGGGTGAGCGCCGTCCGATCCACCGTGTCGCGTGTGCCAGGGTATGGAAGGCTGTGGCTCACATGATTTCTAGGAAAAAAGCGTGCCGTGGAGGCAAGGAGGAGCTTATTTTGTATGTATTTCCCGCTCGTCCTCTGTGTGCCCTTCATGTAAGTGAAAGCACGGGTGTGTTCTATTGTCCGTCTCCCATTATGCAGACGCCTGCCTCCCCGTAAACTTAGCGCATCTACAGGGAAACGACAGCTGGGGTTCACAATATGGCAATAAATCACAACCTTAAAAAATCACAACGCTGACCGCTGGTCACGAGAGAAAAACATCGCTGCTAGAGATTTTGCGAGAAGTACTCGACAGACATTTTCATTTACCGAATAGTCACCAGAATACTCCTGTAGAAACATCATGGAACGCGGTGCAAATCACCTTGCGGTGTCGTTGACAAGTGTGCTTGCTGTCTGGTCATTTTAAACTTCTGACCATGTAGACTAGCTGGGTGATTCCTAACACTTTGTAAACATATTAATAAGTTAATGATAGTATCTAATGACATGGATATTGAGGACCCGGAGGAAATGCTCAAATACTGAGCTGATTCAAAGGGGGAGAAAAGTGAAGTACAGCCGCGGCCAGTACCTTTTGCCCGTTTCACTGATTCTTAGAGTTTGGAATCCAGTAGGTGGTAGTTTATTGTGAGGTTAAAATGCCTGATAGTGAAGTGGGGGATGACATCCCCCTAAAGTCCCGCCCCTGACTCCTGGAGACAGTCTGTCCATCCAAAGCCAACCCCGTCTCATAGCTCAGGGGAAATCCAGGCATTTTATCTGAAAAGATGGTTTTAGGCACAACATGGGGAGAACAGTGAATCGAACTATGAATGCCGGAGGCTGGCTCCAGCCGGTCCAGGGGTCCCTGAAGGATGGATAGTGTCGGCGAGAGAGAGTGAGAGAGCCCTGAGATTCTTTCTGATCACCAGGCAGGCATTTCCATCCCGTCAGTTTTGGTGTCTTTATTTATAGGTCAAAGGATAACATGGCATCAGAAAAAGGAATTTTTACAATGGAAAACTCTTCGTGATAAGATGCTTTGCAAAGTGTACAAAAACAGGTTTTTCGGAACTATTCTTGCAGAATTACCCCCATCATAGTGAGGTTGAGTAAATCTTACAACTAAGGAAATAACAGGATGTTTTTAGTGAAAAACAGGAGACATACATATTTGTTCTAAGTTAATAACGCTAGGATTAGGACATAGGTTAAGTGGTATATAGATAGGCTGGGAGTCATTTTGTTTGGCTCTTAAGAGCACGAATGTTTTTGAGCTGGTTAATAAGCTGTTTGCGGAAACTTTTTTGACTTGATGCTGAATTGTAAACACCATGGAGGCCCTAAATGTGTCGGACTTTGTTTTTGGGTTTATGTTTTGGCTACTCTTATCTATCCTCAACCCAGCCACCAGTGTAAGGGAGGGTGTTTGCAGAAAGTAGACCTTAGGGAAGGGACTGCCATACATCACCAGTTAGAAAAGGTCTGAGTATTAACTTAAGTTCTGCCCTTATCTGTACCTTAACTCTAAATTAGGCTCTTTGTCCCAGGGCTAGGCTCAATTGTAACTCTTGTGTTCTGAACCCCCTTTATGATCTAAGTCTTGGATCTGCAAGGCCCCTAGGAAGAGCCTTTTGACAATCGTCCACAGTGCTTTCATCTAAAATCTCTTTTGAAAAGGCAGGAATATGCTTTTCCTTATGAGGAATCTGTGTGCGGAATATCGGTCTGATCTGGAATATTGTGAGGCCTGGTCAATACCCGCAGGCTCATCTCCAACATGAGTCAGTAGTAGCAGAAGGAGATCCCAGTTTTCGTTTCTGATGGCAGGAGCTGCGCAAACGCTGCCGTTTCCTCACTGTGATTGTCACCCAGCGAGCCCGGGGCGGCTCCAGCATATGAAGCAATTCTCATTTCCTGGGTTTGAAATTGATGCTAAATTAATGCCCCAAGAGAAATAGAGTATGAAACCGAATTCTTCGTCCCCAGGACGGTTGCTTCTCAATCCTCCAGTGTCGGTGTGGACCATTTAAACGTCCTCGTCCAGGACTAAGCTGTATAGTTTCGGCATCTCCGTTCTCCATAGAATTTCAGTGAGGAAAACTGTGATTGGAGATGTTGACATCCTTGTGGTGTTCGATAGTCGTTAGCACAGGGAAAGGATATAAGTTTTCCATGAAAAGCGTTCACTTTCTTGTTGCACTTGGAGGCATATGCTGAGTAGTGGATGTTAGAGTAAAAGGTAACCCCCCCAATGCATGTTAAATAATGAAGATTGTGCTGAACATTGTCTGTCTCTCCTCCGCAGTCTTCTCCCTAATATTTTCCCTTTCTTCTAGAACACTCAAGCCACGAAGCAGTACTTCAACCGTCTCCCCTCAAACCAACCTCAGCAAAATGCTTTGGCGTGAAGCTAGCACCCCTCCCTCGGTACACCCGGGGTTCACTGAGGAATTGTGTTATCTGACATGGGGAGACGTATGCTGGTATGTCTCCCTAATCGTATCAACGCGGAATTCTCTGTGAGGACGACACACACGTACCTTCACGTGCCTGACATCTTTGGCCTTTGCTTATTTATTTTCTCTTATTTTATTTTTTGCTCTGCATGAATAGATCTTACTAATACCCTGGGGGGGGAAAGGATTTTGAAAAGTGATTTCACAACATACAGCTTCTCTTTGTGATGTAATCAAAGTGTTTCTTTGTATGTGCCTTATGCGACGTGTCCCAGAATTCGCTGAACATAAAGACCTTGGAGAATAAAGAGCTTTCCAGAAAGCCGTCTTCCAAATAAAGATTAATAGCAGACATCTTGTCCCAAGGAACATTAATTTCTTTGTTTACAGCGTCTACTTGTATTTGCCTGAACTCCGTCTGTCTGTCACCAAGTCTGAAGCCTTAGCACACTCTTCCTGAGCACGCTGTGCTCCGTGTTTCCTCTGTCATCACCTACTTGGCCCATATTTTCCAACGACCCTGTCCATCCTGTTAGGTCATATTTTGTGTTATACACCCAGCTGAGCACATTATCTTAGAAGCCTCCTTTTTTTTTCTTTTTAACGTTTATTTTTGAGAGAGAGAAACAGAGTGTGAGCAGGGAAGGGTCAGAGAGAGAGGGAGACACAGAATCCCAAGCAGGCTCCAGGCTCTGAGCTGTCAGCACACAGCCCGACATGGGGCTCCAACTCACAAACTGTGAGATCATGACCTGAGCTGAAATCGGACCCTTAACCGACTGAGCCACCCAGGCGCCCCTTGGAAGTCTTCTTGAAATGTAAGTCTGTGGTCCGCACGCATGGGGATGATGGTGAGGACAGATACACTTGCGCCCCAGGGTCTATGCGTCTGTTCCTGTGGCTTTTCGTTGATTTGCAGGCAGGGCTTGTGCGGGCAGAGCCCGCCGCTGCCATCGCATCTCCTGATACCACAGTTCAAAGAGAGCCGGTCCAGCCGCCGTGCTGTCCACCAGATAGGCTGGCAGCGTCCCTCCTCGCGCCCACCCCATCTCCGATCATCAGAGGTAGTGTTTCTGTCTTGTCCGATTTTGTGGCCATCCGTCTGCTCTCTGCGTCTCTGCTATTCCTTATATTTCCCTTGCTGCAAGAGCATTGCTCCCGTTCTGTCAGAAAGGAGTTTTTCCTGTTTAAGGACAGTTCTGGCCCTTCCACTTGCAGTGGCCGTAAACAGTACCTTCCCCTCAGCCTGACTATTGATTGTGCGGTGAAGCCTGTTTGGGTCATTTGGGAACGTCTTGTGTGGTGGCTGAAGTTGCAGGCATCACGGCGACTCTGGAAACTGCTCTTTTCTTGTTACCCTGGTAACAAAACGAGGCATTTTGAAGAGAATCAAGATGACTTTGTTCCTAACCATTGAAGCAGGCTACCTGAAAAAGGTTTCTTTCTGGGGTGCCTGGGGGGCTCAGTCGGTTAAGCATCCGACTCTTGGTTTCGGCTTAGGTCGTGATCTCAGGGTTTGTGGGTCTGAGCCCCACGTCAGGGCCATGCAGAGCCTGCTAGGGATTCAGTCTCTGCCTCTCTCTGCCCCTTCCCTGCTCACTCTCTCTGCCTCGCTTTCAAAACAAATAAATAAAAACTATTAAAAAACAAAAGAATTCTTTTTTGCTAAAAATGAGCTGAGACTACAGTGAAATGAAAATTCATATAATTAAAAATTAATGTCTGTTTTGTACTTGATTGCAGTGAATGTTGTCCCGTCCAGAGAACATGCCTAATTTTGTAATAACTCCACTCATAAGAAGCCTCAAGCTTTTTGCTTTGCTGGGGTTGACTTTTAGCTCTTTTGTGGTGGAGTCAGCAGGAGACGGGTTTATTTAGCTGGATGCTAGTTTTCCTCCTGCTTCTCATATTTTCAGATGAAAATAACCATCTGCGCTAATAATAAGCAAGATAAGAAAAATGACCACTTCTTTAAATTGAATTATTTTTTTCTTATATCGTCTTTCTGTAATCAGAAAATTAACATATGAGTGTGTTTTTATTTACTCTCCTTTCCTTTTTTTTGTTTATTTATTTTTGAGAGAGAGTATGAGCAGGAGCGGGGCAGAGAGAGAGGGAGACACAGAATCTGAAACAGGCTCCAGGCTCTGAGCTGTCAGCACAGAGCCCGACGCGGGGCTCGAACCCATGAACCGTGAGATCATGACCTGAGCCGAAGTCGGATGCTTAACTGACTGGGCCATCCAGGCACCGCCCCCTTTGAGGAATATTTTTAAATGTTTCCTTGCAAACCCAGTTTCATATAACACCTGTGCAAGTGTGAAGTGACCCTAGTGAATTGTAATAATGGAGAGAGACCATTAGGTGGTGATAAAACACCAGCTTCCGGACACAGTGTATGTCCCCAAAGCCCCCTGGCAGCATGTAAAAGATAGGGTGCTGTTGAAACCAGAAGGTGAGTCTAGGGGTCTGTCAACTGGACAGAGGAAGGACAAACAGACACCCGGCACACCCGTTGGTCAATTAATTAGCACGTCGTTTATAACGCTTTTATCCGAGATCATTTGGGCAAAATTTTGTACATTCTTTTTTTAATAGATTTCTTAATTTTTTTAATGTTTATTTATTTTTGTGTGAGAGAGAGAGAGGGAAGGGCAAAGAGAGAGAGGGAGACACAGAATCTGAAGCAGGCTCTGTCAGTACAGAGCCCACAGTGAGGCTCGAACCCATGAACCGAAAGATCATGACCTGAGCTGAAGTAGGACGCTTAACCAACTGAGCCCCCCAGGCGCCCCCAAATTGTTGTGCATTCTTAAATACCATGAAAACAATTGTTTTGATTGTTTGAATTTCACATCCTTGCCTTACACTGAAGGGATCTAAACTCGGTCAACAACTGATGGCCTACGGTCACTTTGGTAAAAGTACAGGATCCTCCTATAGCCTAGAAATGTTTCTATTCCCTCCCAGGAGTATAAACAGAGCCCGGAGGAGCCACGCGGCCAATTGCCTGTCCCCATTCCAAGCGCTTCAGCCCTAATACAGCATATTTCCAAATGTTTAGAGATATATTCACGATCCTCACAAAAGCATGTCTTTCATGATTGTCTAAGATCCTTGGCGCTTTTTTTCTATTCCTTTTGGAAGGACTTTGTTATAAGTAGAAAAAATGAGTTGTGAAATCTTTAAACCTTTCGGCAGATCCGGTTGTTTTCCAGGACTAGAAATCCAGAGATTGTCGAAAGACGTGGCGATGCTCTCGGGGGTGGAAGGTGCACAGTGAGAGATGACTGGGCTAGGCGGGTGCATACTGGGGGGGGCGGGTCAGGGTGTAGCTTGGGCGGAACGCATTTGCACAGGAGTGTGATGCCTTCTCTCATCGGGTCACAAGATTCAAACTCACAGTTCAGGATTAAAATTGGACCCTGGTTATTGTGTTTCATACCGTTTTTATTTGCTGACATTTGTTGGGTGTTTGCTGTGAGTCAGGCTCTGTATTAAGGGCTTCATGTAATCCTTACAAGTAACCTGATGAGGTAGACATCATCCTCATTTTACAGATTAGGAAAGTGAGGTGGCGGGGAGGTGGGGCGGGGGAGAGCGTTCGGTGCTTGCGTAAGGTCACGCAGCCCAGAAATGGCCAAGCTGGGACTGAGATCTACCTGTGTTCCACCCCATGGACAGGACCAGCCTTCCCAATAAACCCTTTCCTCTTTGGTCTTGACCGCGGTCGCAGCCCCTGGACAGTTCCTGGTTGGGCAGCGGGTGCCTTGTCCTCCGATGGTCCCCCATGTTCTGCCTTTAGACTCAGTACCACAGTCCAGACGTTCAAGCTTGGCGGAAGGGGACTGGAACTTCCCAGCTGTGATCCACATGTGCTGATTTCTCAGTTGAACCATAGGGAGCAATTTCATCCCCTTCATTCTCAGATTCTTGGGCCGCTTGCTGTGGCCGCCAGCGCCAGGCCCACTTGTAGAGGGACGTGAAGCACCGTCAGCCCACATTACTCTAGAAATGGGTCGGCGGCTTCAGACCCAGAGTCTCAGGTTGCAGAGGGAAGAAACAAAATTGTCATCTGCCTTTTCCAGTCTACTTGTCCTCGGCTATACCTCGCTCGCTGGTGCTGTAGGATACACCCAGAATTCCTCTGGGGCTTAGCTGTCACTGGCCACCCAATGATGTGCCAGTGTCTCAACTAGCTCCTCACGGTATTTTTAGCAGAGATGTTGGTTCCTTCTGGCTCCTCATTGAGGAAGATTTAATGAGGCGAAATACATTTGAGTCCCAGGACGTCAATTTTTAGTTTGCTGGGTTTTGTAGCACATCGGATTTCTGTGTTCCCTTTATTAAAAAAAAAAAAAAAAATGTCTACCACTGAAAGGAAACAGAGTTATCTAGGGAGGAAAATGAAGCTCGTATTAAAAACTTCACACTCACAGTCTAATTTCTCTTCGGTTTTTTCAAAACTGAAGCAGGAAAATAAAACATGGTTTTATTTTACTCTAAGGAGTAGAGAGAGACATCTCCAGCCTTTAATTAGATTCATAGAGATTTAAATCTTGAGATACCATTAGGCCAAATCCACTAAGCAGGCAGCTGGATGGTGTCTGAGAGCGGTTACAAGGGATTTCAGGGCTCTGAGGGGGTTCTCTGTGAGATATTTAGGCAGGGGAATGAGAGTTCTGGATAGTTTCTGAACACACACTTGGAGATCGCTCTCCGCCTGGCTAACGTTCCTGGGGACTTTTTGTACAACAGTGGTGTCTTTGACTCACCACGTAGGCACCAGAGTGTTTTTGGAAGTGCCTCAAACGATGAGATGCGCCTCTGGGTTTAAGAAATGTTGGCCAGAAGGAATCTAGACTCTGGGAAACAATCAAGCCCTCATTCTCTCACCTGTGTGGGCCAGGCAGCCTAATCACTCCCAAGGGACTCTTAACAAAGGAACCCGTGGTTTTCAAATACATATTTTAAAGCCATGGAGCTCTCAGTTTAAATGGATCTCCAAGAGTAAAAATCAGACGGAAGTAGTGGAATTTTATGGACCTTGGCCCCAAAGAGGATCCCAATGCAGAGAGCACTTTTGAAGCTCTTTGCTTGGTTGTAGGCTTTTCTTTTTAAATCAGCTTCACTGAGGTGTACTTTATACGATAATATGCGCCTGTGCTGCTTTTCTAACACTGGCAAATTCTCCAATTTTTTGATATCAACCAGGTATCTTACAATTCAGTTCTGATGCTATACTCCTGGGGTTAGTTTCTGAGCTTTTTTTATCTAGGTTTTCTATGTAGGCATGAATCATCTAGGCACAAATCACTGGCCCTTGATGATCGAACTCACACTCCAGGATGTGTGGGTA